TGAGTTTAAAATATACTAACTGGTTGCAAATTTCCTCCTGATAAAAGTCATGTGAGAGAGTTGAGCCAGGGTATTATATTGATATTGGTAAATTGTAATTTACTGATAGTTGTTTCTGACTAATTTGATAAACTATTACGTATAACGATTACTTGTATCATCATATACATTTAGTCGTTTGCCTCTTTTGTAACTGCAAATCACCCTAAAACCTATTCGACGCTTAATAACGATATATCATCTTTTACTTAGCTTAAATCTGATATTCCCATTAGTTTACCGATATTCATAACATATCCGTTGCTAAGTAAACCGTCACCCAGGATCTTAGAATAGGTAGATTCCGGTAGAGACAGTACTATTGTATATCAATTTTTCAAAATTGCACATATAAATAATCCTGTGATTTCGGATACGAGTTTCTTTTAGGTATGTTCATTCATACTTTCAAAATACGGTAAGGATGCGATCTTTGCATAAATATTGTTACATTTAATCAAGTTTACGTCTTAGCGTTAGATGGATTCCGACCCGTAAATTTGAAGTTATTTATGAGTTTAGTGGTACACAATGAATATAACACAAAGCGTTAAAGTACTGTACAAGGTACCAAACATGCACAAAATATTTGGTGGTATGTTAAAACCCAGTGCAATTTAGTAAAAACTTATGGCTTAAAGACATACCAAAAAACTTGTGTCCCCACCCTAGTTACAGGGTACTTTAAATATACGTATTAAGAAATTATGATTGTGTAGCAGCAATAATTATCACAATGAATGCCCAAATGTATAAAATCTAAACAATTCACAGAAAATTTATGCGAGTTGAGTAAATGCGCATAGCTTTTAATTTCAAATCGGTTAATATAATGTCAAAGAAACGAGCAACTGTTATTGGTGCTGGAATTTCAGGACTAACAACTGCCGTCTTGCTACAGAAAGAATATAAAGTTACAATTATTGCAAGAAACTTTCCAGGAGAATTAAAAAGCGAATATGCTAGTCCATGGTTAGTAAATCAAAAATCATTTCTCAGTAATTATTGTCTTACAATGCTCAAAATAAAAATGTATAATAGGGCTGGTGCCCATTGGAGAAGCGATGCAAAACCCGAAGATACAAGGCAACAGGGTATCTATCATAAAGAATTAATTTTAAGGTATTCCGGTCAGATTTGTTAATTCAATTATTTATTTATTTATTTTTTTTTGAAAGATTTTGATAGAGAAACTTTTAATCACTTTTGGAACCTGGCCAATACCAAACCATCCGAAACTGGAATAATGGTTGTGGATGGTTTTGACTATTGGGATGAACATTCTCCAATGGAATGGAAAGATCCGTGGTTCAAGGATTTATGCCCAGAAGTAATAAAGTTTACTCATTGTAATATTGCACGTTAAAATTTTAATAAAATTATATTTTTGTTAACAATAGTACCGACATTTAACGAAGAAAGAATTGCCAACTGGTGTTGAATTTGGGACTACGTATAAGACCAGTATGTACAAGTGATGTATATACCGTATTTTGGCAGAATAATAGTATTTATTCATAATTATTATTATCTGAAAAGAGTACTAATGACAGGTAGTACTTAAAATAGACATTTAATCAAGCAAAATTTTCAGATATTTGTACCTAAATATTTTTAAAATCAATGTTACCAAAAAATGGAAATGCCGTTAAGTTATTTCTTTCTGCAAAATACGGTATAGCCTAAAATATTTTATTTTAAATTCGTAGTTAAGAACTTTATGCATTTTTCGAATTTATAAGTTACAATTAATCCACCCAAGCATCTTGATTATCTCCTGGCGAGCTTTTACGCGCTTGGTGGAACTATTAAACGTGCTTCTTTGACCCATATTCAAGAAGCAATCTTTAATGATACTGATATTTTGATAAATTGTTCGGGACTTGGTTCAAGGACTCTAGGAGGTGTATTAGACCAAAGTGTGCATCCAGCAAGCGGGCAAACTGTATTAGTGCAATTACCTATTGGACATGTCAATTGGACTTTCGGACGATATGCAGCTGGAAGGACAGATGGTGGCACACACAGTACGTATCAGTGCGAATTTGAGGATTTAATGCTCTTTTTCGGATTATCTAATAACTTAACTAATTTAAATTATGACAGGAAAAAATGAATCGCTTACCTATGTAATACCACGAGACAATGGTGAAGTGATTCTTGGAGGAACTTTTGTAGGTTATATATTATTATGTCGAATTAATTATATGATCAGATTCTAATTTTTACTTATTATTCACGAGCACAGTGTCAAGACGACTAGTATGAATTAATATTATTGTACAATTGAATTTTTAATTTCAATCGATCCAACATTTTGTATAAATTTTCTCTATTTTAGTTCAACTATTCCTGATACAAAGATTGCAGATGCAATTATTTCACGATGTCTTTCAACGCGTCCAGACCTTTTACCCACAGGTGAAACCAAGCTTAATATCAAAAGACATGGTGTTGGTTTAAGACCTTTTAGAAAAAATGGAATCAGAATAGAATTAGAATGGATACGTGAGCACTTTTTCATATAAAAATATATTATGTTAATATTAAATTATTTAACGAATTTGAGATTTTTTAACTTCCTTAATTATTAGAATCTGAAAAGGCGGGTAAAAGAATTTTACTCTGTCATAATTATGGTCATGGTGGATATGGTAATTATACACTAATACTTATTGTCATTTATATTTACAAATATTTATTTACCTACTCATTTATTCTACACAGGATGGCAATCAAGTTATGGTGCATCGAAACATGTAATTCAAATTTTGAAACAAGCTTATAAAGAAGATGGAGAAAATAAAAAGATATAAGTTTTAAACTTTAAAATTCAACCTTTTCTATAACAAAATATGTTTAAGACTAATTATATAATTTCAATAATATATTAGTGGTTATTTTTGATATTGATCAATAAAAAAAAAAAGATATCTTACCAATTTTGCATGTCGAATACATTTTTTTTTTTAGTAGATAGCTATAAATTACTAAAATCTCATTCTGCAAACACTCTAGATATTAAATTAAAGTTATAAACTAATTAAATAATCAATATTAGTACTCAAAACAATTTACAAATTTTAAATTACATTACTTATATGTATATATAGAGGCAAAAAATAGAAATTATTACATATAGAAACCCAAAACCAAAAAATTATTAAAATAAGAGCCTATAGTATATTATTATGCTTTTATGTTGTATAATACAAATTGAAACTTTATGTAGAAATTGCTGGCTACAAGTTTTTTTATAATCTTGGAAATAATTTTAATTAAATTTTTCAGAAATACAAGTTTGCTCTTTTATTTACAAGTTGGTAGAGCTATTAAAAAGCTCATAGAGCCTGATTCTTAAGTTAACTTAACAAGTGTTTATTAGGACCAACTCAAACTAACTTTGAAACAAAATCCTTATTATTATATAAATTATACATATTTTATAAACTCTTTGCATAGTTTAATATATTTTTGTATATTTTTGTATAAACTTGCATAAATATGCAAGAAGTACATAAGTATATATAATTTAACTAACTCTTTAGTTACTAACTCAAACTCATAAGTTGAGTTAAACCAAATAGAATTTTTAACATTAAAAGTTAGAAGTTATTTTAATTTACAAAAGAAAAAGCTTCTTCTCAATATTCTTTATATAAATAAAATAAGCTTAAAGTAATTTCTGAAAAACAAAGTAATTCAAAAAATTTAATAAATATAAAATTATGTTAAAATATACTTTATAAAAAAAATTATCTAATAATTATTTAAAAACTGCTTAAGAATTTATGTATCAAAATAGTATCAAAACTTGTTCTATACAAATTAGTCTAATTTTGCAAGAATTCTGTATCACAAATATTAGCTATTTTTTAAAAGAATTCTTTTAATTTTTTTAATAATTATAAATAATTCTGTAATAAATTTTAATATATATTTTTTTTTTTTACAGTTTAAAGAGGGAGTTCTATGTTCTAATATTTATTTATTTAAGACTTACAACCTATACTTAGATAGGAGGGTACTACATTTTGCATATCAATGAGGTCACAATTAGTCACATGTACAATTTTAGTCATTATCTATTTAAAGGTTCTGCTCGAAGGTTACCTACTAACTGCCATTTCTAAGATAAATTTTAATATATTTGTAAATAATTCTATAATATTTATATAATAAATTTTGATAGTAAAATTAAATTATAATAAATTATATCAAAAAAAAACATATTTTATTTATTAAAAACTTATAAAAAATGTTTTTAAATTATTTTTACATAACTAAATTAAAAAAAAATAAAAAATATAAAAAATTTTTCAAAGAACATCAAAGAAAATACAATAAAAAATCATTATAAAGTATTGAAAAAAAGCTTATAAAATATTAAAAAAATGTCAAAGAAACAGCTATAAAATATCAATAAAACTTGCTATAAAATGTCAACAAAACTTACTATAAAATATAAAAAATTCTCTATAAAATATCAAAGAAAATACTACTGAAATATCAAAGAAGATTTAAAAAAAACATTAAAGAAAATACTATAAAATATTGAAGAAAACACCAAAAAAATTACAAAAAAAAATGCTATAAAACTTTAATAAAAAAACTAAGTAAATACTATTAAAATATTAAAGAAAATTGCTATATAATATTGAAGAAGAATATTAAAAGAAAACATCAAAAGAAATCATCCTAGAAAAAAAGAAAAAAAATAATAAGAAAAAAATATAAAATAAAACAGAAAAAATAAAAAATAAAGCTAAAAAAATTAAAAACTAAATATTTAAATTTTTCTATTTACAAATTTGTATATAATAATTTTATAAACAAACCAAACTAGAATTTTTATAGAATTAATACTGAAACTAATATCTAGATAATCAACTTTATAACTCTTCATCTACTCTCTCTATTATCAAATCTGAATTTCAACAAATTAAAAATATATTAAACATATAACAAAAACAACAAACACAAAAAGAAATTCAACAAAAAATTGAAGAATAAAATTAAATCTTCAAAAATTTACCAAAAATCTTTTACTGAAATATTCTTGAAAAATTTAATAGTATTAATATTAATAGATTAAATATTAATAATAATACTTTACTTACAGAACAATAACAAGTTCAACAAGTAATTCACTCTTATTTTACACATTACTTCAATAAAAAACCACTTTCACAAATCTCTCCAATATCAGATTATTACATTATTATAAACTATATTCAGAGAATAAAAAATATTTTCAAAATCTTCTCTCTGAAATCTCTGAAGAGAAATAGACTTCAGTTATCAAAAATCTCCCTTTACAAAAAACAACTAGTCCTTCAGAAACTAGTTATGAACATATTTAATATGCTTACTCCAAGGCTCTGTATATTTTAAAATCTTTTTTTAGTCATTGTTTTCAACTTCAAAAAGTCTCAACTGTTTAGAAAACCTTTAATATTTTCTTAATACTAAAAAAATTTACTTAAAACTATACTTTAAATCAAGTTTAATCTATTTTAATTCTTGAACCTCTTAAAATATATTTAACAAAGATATTTACTCAATGTCTTAATAATATTATTATACAAAACAAACTACTCTCAAATCTCAATTTTGCTACTACTAAAAACTTATTAACACATATTCTAATACAAATTCTCTATAATACTATTGAGTACTATAAACTTCACAAAAAAGAAACTTGAATTCTTTTTCAGAATATGTCTAAAGTATTTGATAAAATCAATATCTTATGCTTTCAAAATACTTGTAAAAGAATCAGAATCCTAACACCAAATATAAACTTTATTATGGAACTATACTCACAATAGTAAGCTCAAATTATTATAGCTTTTGGCTTTACTTCTTCTATTAATATCAAATCTAGTATTAAACAAGAAGAAACATATTCTCCTTTACTATAGAAAATATACTATAACCTTATACTTTCCTTTATACATAACAAATATCAAAACTCCCTTTTAAAAATTTAAACCTTCTCTTCTCTTGAACTAATCTCTAATCATTAACTTACATCTATAACTATACTATCTCTAGCCTATATAAATAATACTACTTGGCATACAGAATGTTTAAAAACTATTAAAGATATTCTTAATAATACAAATAACTTGTATAAACTAAACAATATAGAAATTAATTCTGCTAGATTTAGCAATCTAGTATAGTAGTTAGATTGTTAGACTGCTATACAATAGGTCTAGAGTTCAAATTCTACTGTCAATAAATTTGAATAATTTCTCAGACCTTGTAATACATTATAGTAAACCCTGTTTGTTTCTGGAAGTGTACTCCTGTAAATTAAATTACACTAAATTGATTAGAACTTAGAAGTATAGTGTAATATTATACGAATAAATCTTGATAGAATATATAAGCAGGGGATCTGTATAGTAAAAATTCTGAGTTAGTGAAGTAGTACAGCCTTCTGATAGAACTATATTAGCTAAAGTCTAATCTGAGAAGAAAACTTAGTCTAATAAAGATAGAAGATTTTGAGGTTTCTGGGTAAAGGATAACAAGAACTAGCTAGATACTAGAAGAAGACTAGGTCAATAGACTAGTAGAGGACTATAGTAGAACCTGAAGTTGTATAAATATCTATAAGGGTCTAAGCTAAGTGAATCTGTAAAATAGATACGGACTACTCTAGTAGATTTGCTTTGAGGTTAACTAGCTTTGCAATACTAGCAATATATCTAGTATAGTGTATTCTAAGAGGACCTAAGCTATTCTGAATAAATAGATTCGTAATAAGCTAGATAGCTTAAGCAGTTAGATATTGTAGTAATATTAGATTAGATCTGTATAGATTAATGAACAAAGTATTTAAATAGGTAACTTAAAGTGAGTTGCAGATATAGCAGCATAGTGTAGAACCAATCAGGTAGCCTAACACCTATATAGCAGACTACTTAAAATAGATAATGACTAAAGTTATACATATAGCTTATTATACACTCTTTATGTAATTATAAACAGTAGAGATTATCAATATATAATCCTATTGACAACTCTAATAAAATCCTTTCAGCAATGTAAGCTGCCTTAAAAACAAAAAAAAAAAAAAACTTAATTCTGCTAAATCAGACCTTCTATATATTCATCTAAAATCAAAAAAAAAATAACCAAAATACTAACTTCAATATAATGATCAAATAATTGTACTTCACAAACAAACTAAAATAATCAAATATCTTGATATCTTTCTTGATAGTTATAGCTTATCTCAACCTACTTATGAAACTCTTTTTAATAAAATAGAAAACTTCTTTTTTTTTTTTTTTTTATTAAGGTAGCTTTCTTTGCTGATTAGATTTTATTAATTTGTTATTACAGAACTATCATATAAATAGTTTTCTAAGGTTTTATAGTTATATGATAAGTGTATAACAAGCTACATGTACAACTTTAGTCATTATCTAATTTAAGTAGTCTGCTATACAGATAATCAACTATCTGTTAGTTCTATACTATACTGCTATACTTGCAACCTACCTATAGGTTACCTATTTAAACACTCTGATTATTAACTCTTCTCCTATTCTAAACTAATGTCACTACTATATCTGACTACTTAAGCTAGCTAACTTGCTCATAGATCTATTTACTGCATAACTTAGGTCCTCTTGAGATGTGTATACCTAACATATTGTGAGCTACAGAGCTTTAGTTAATCTTAGAAGTATACCTACTAGAGCAGTCTGTACTTATTTTATGAATTTACCTAGCTTATACATTTGTAGATATTCATACAACTTTAGTTCCTACTGTAGTTCTCTACTAGTTTTTCATA